TCATCCGCTCCTTCCTGCCCCCCTTCCTGCCTCCTCCCCCCCCTCATCCTCCTCGCGCCGCGTTCCTGCTCATCCCCCCCCTCCCGCCGCCCCGTTGTCTTCGTCGCCCCCCCCTTCCGCCCGCCACCCCTAAGTTGGCCCGAGCAAAAGCGCCGCCGCGAGCAGGGGCGCCGCAAGCAGCAGCGCTGGCAGCAGCAACGGCATCTACAGCAGCAGCGCCCGCAGCGGCATCAGCAGCAGCACAAGCAGCAGCGCCAGCAGCACTGCCACCACCACCGCCGCCAGCAGCTGCACCATCACCAGCGCCAACATCAAAAACAGCAGCAACAGCATCAACCGCAGCAACAACATAAAGGGCAGTACGAATCAGGCGGAACAAGTTCTAGATGCACGCGGGCTCAAGATGCAAATCAGTGCGTGACTAAAACCAAGGATGTCCACAAGACGACCCAAAATGCCTCCTCGGCGGCTCAAGGGGCCCCCAAAACTGCCCCAAGAGAGGGCCCATGCGAGAAACCCGAACGGACATCTCGAGCCCTCGGGCCAGGGGGGCCCCCAGGAAACCCCGAGAGGCTCCCAGGGGGCCGGCAAGAGGCCACCGGGATGCCCCAGGAAGCGCATCTTGCACGGATTCTTAATTTAAGCTTAAATAAATGAAGCTATGCCCCCCCACCCCCCCCCGCCCGCAGTGCAGCGCTGCCTGTGCGCGCCCCCATGCACGCGCGCAACCGCTCGCGCAAGGGTGCCATTCCCGTTCTGCCTCGCCCTTGCCCCCCCCCCCCCCTGTCTTCCACGGCGTTCACTCGCGCGCGTGTTACAGATGCAAATCAGTGCGAGGGCTGATGTTGAAGATGTCCACGAAACAGATCAGTGCGAGGGCTGAGATCAACGATGCCAATCGGGAAGCGACTGTAACCTGCGCGACAAGGTCACCTCATCGTAGATGCAGCCACCTGCGCCAGAGAAGTTAACCACAGGGAACACCACGGTGCGTCGTGCACTGATTTCCATCTCAAACTTCAGCGCGGGAACCGAGTGCACACGAACCCCGATGAGATGAGAGGGCTCCAAAACACGACACAAATCTGATCTACATTGGGCAAACAGATCTGCAGTGGCGAACCTAATGATCCGCAGTGGCCGCCTGCAAATGCAAACGTTATGAAGAGTTGCGCAGCATTCCGCGCGGCACCAATCTGCAATGGAAAACCCAATGTGCAGTGGCGCGACGTCAGCGAAAAGCGACGCGCGCGTACTCCTGCGCACCCATGATGGGGGCAACTCGCATCCGCAGCGGGCGAAGCGTGAGCGAACCCATCTGCGTTGGCCAAACCAATCGGCGGTGGCCGTCTGCAATTGCAAGCATTCAAATTCTGCAGGGTCGTGGCCCACGCAGGACCAATCGACAGAACAGGCGCAGTCGCGACTCACGCGGGACCAATCGATAGCGGCCGCGGTATACTCGGAGGCCCCATGAAAGGAATTGTCCGTCTCATCGCTGTCAGCGGTTCCTCGCGCGCCCTTCCCCGTCGCTTTTTTTTTCCACCAGTCTGGCTGCGGATTCAATCAGTTCAAGAAGCCGCGGTCTTCCGCAAAAATATGACCATCACACCCTGGCCACCGTCGATGACCATAAACAATCGGAGTCAAGGGGCACGTCTGGCGGTGAATAAGGCAGAAGCAGTTGCACTTCACTTTGCTGCGTCTGAACTGAGCCCGCAGCCGCCTCACCTTCCCCACCGCATCCTTCACGCAAGGTTTGCACTCCAGTTTCGCGCGCCCGCGGTCCTTGTGGTGCAACTCGTCGAACTGCTTTCCCCCGTACTCGACATTGCATCTCTGGCATCTGCGCGCATTGACCTCATTAGGGTGATACCCCAGACTGCGACGCACCCGGCGCACCAACGTTGACCCTTGACGTCTGCGGTTATCCCGTTCCGTTTTTGTTCCACGACTTCTCATCAAAGCGTGTCTTGCATGCGCCGCGTCGCAACTTGTTCTGGCAATATTTGCAAACCTCGCGGGGGCCTGGGCGCCTCGCCCAGTTTCTCAGTGAGAGCGCCGGACCCTTATGTCTTCTGGGCCAAGATGGACGCAACCACCAGAACCAGAGACGATTACCACGGGGAACATCGCGGCGTAGCTTGCACCGGTTTACATACTAATCTTCAATACGGGCGGCCATGTGTGATCCTTGTTTTTCTGAAGACGGCCGCGCAACTGCATGCTTCCAGCCGGCCCTGATTCACCAATTTCCCTGTTGATCGTTTCTGGATGGGCTGGTGGGGATACTTGTTTGATTTGCGGCCCGCAAGGAGAAGTCCAGAGGGCGTGTCACTAGGCAGTGGGGCGCAATGCCAGATAATTAGAGATGCAGAAGACCACTAGGCAAACGCCAGCGGAAGCCCACGAGGAGGCGCCCAGACGACGCTAGCTTGCAAGCGGAGCTGCCACAGACAGTCGGCAGACTGAGCACAAGCCAGGACCCACAGGTGGGGAACCTGGTGGGGATACGCGAAGCGTCAAGAATTGTAATGGCTACCGTGCGCTGTTAATTTGGTTCCAAGTAGACTGCGCCCAGCAATCCAACGCGGGATTTCCTGCAAGCTAACAGTCGAGCCTGTCTTACCAGGGTGGCCCAAACTCTGAGCGATACGAAAAACTTCCCAATGGTTACGTTCATACGCGTTGCACGTCCGCGCCAGGCATCGTTTAAAATGGCTCGACATCAGCAGCCGGCTGTCCTACTGCTGGCGCTTCCAGCGGCGCTGACAAACCGCCGTGCGAGCAGCACTCTCCGACAGCCGTGCCGCTTGCAGGCCCTGGGCGTCTCAAGTCATACTGCCCTTGTCCCGCATTTTGAACAGGATGCCTCCCAACTGCATGTCCATGTCACCCTCCTCCAGCGATGCGGCCATAAGTATCCTGAACTCCGGGGGCCATTGTGCGCGGGGCTCGAGGTTAACGTCCAGATAGATAGGTCAAGCCGAGTATCTGAACCAACGACGAGTCAAGTATCTGAACCAACGTAATGTATTTAGCCTGGACGTCCGGGTGTCGCTCAGCCTTTGCATTTTTCCCGCGCGTTCTTATAGATATTCACCCCTGCCTGGAAATACTCATCATTCATGTTTGTCATATTCGTTTGGTGCTGGCGTTCGTTGCGGATGCTGTGGCTGGTGGTTCCACTGGCACTACCTCCCATGCTGGTGATGGATCATGTACGGCCTTCAATTCCTTCATGTACTCTGGCTGCGGCCATCCGACCCCTTTCTCGTGACACTGTTTTTCTCGTAGGGACAGAACTCCCCAACATCGATGAGCTCGGGTTCGAAGGTGCCCCCAGCAAATGTTCCCGCCTCAAGATACGCGACGCCATTTTCGAGCTCGCGATTCATGTGCTTCTTGTCATGGTGTATCCCCTCCGGTACTGGTACCATGCTGCTTTTCATAGCCTCCGTCTGCTCCTCGACGAGACTGGCCGAATAATCAGCCCACCATGAAGGAGGTGCGCACATCTTGGTTCATAAAAGATAGGCTGGAAGAGAAACACTTGCAAAAAAAATCTGGCGATGAAACTGAGCTCCACCACCTACCGTTCGTTGCCTTTACGTGGCGCCTTGAGCCTCGAAGGCCTTGCGCCGCTTGAGCTGCAATGGCTACGGCCCAGTAGCGGGGCCATTCGTGGGGCCATCAGCGCGCCATTCGTGGGGAATCTGTGGGCCATCGGTGAGGCGAGGAAAAAACAGCGGGGCATTCCGCTAGCAACCGTGAGAGAAAACCCTCTCTCGGAGGCGACGATAGGGGCGAACAGCGCAGGGGCGGGCGTTACACGCACTCGCCCGGGACCCCCGCTGGAAGCATGGGCCATCGGCGCCCCTGGATAATTATATGTATTGCTCCCCCCTGGGCTATTCGCCCCCCTCGTCGCCTCTGGCTCTCTGACACGCCCGTCCCGGGCCCTCTCTGACACGCCCGTCCCGGCGCCGAAAAAGGAGGGGGGGGGGGCATATCCGCCCGCCGTGGCGCTGGCAGCGCCCCCTGGGGCGAGCAGAACGACACGCCGACGTAGCAGGGCAAACCACCCAACAGCACGTTTTTGCGAGCTCCGGGCGTGCCTCCCTTGGTGGCGCGCAGAGGGGGGCAGGGGGAGCCGGGGAAAACTTGTTAGAAGAAGCCTGCTTCTTAGAAGGCGCCGGCTTTACATCTATGGATAAGGGCCGCGCCTTCTATGAAGCAGGGGTGCTCCTTAGAAGCCTTCCCCCCTCCCCCTACCCCCTTCTGCGCGTGGCCGAACCCCGCGAAGCGAGAGGAATCGCATCTGCGGGTGTCAGATGAAGGGTCAGGCGGACGACGGCATCGTTCGCCTCGCGCTTGAACGCCTCTGAGCAAGAATTCACTGAGATCTGGGCGTGGCAATTTGTTCACGCCGGGCGTTTTGGCGCACCTCTGGGCCTCTGGACCATCACGGATCTACCTGACACAGAAGGTGCCAAAGAAGATGGTGTCTCGGGCTCTCGTCGTACGGCTGCCGTTCGGGACGACCGAGCACACCCAAGACGCTCCCGGCGAGGCGCAGCTGCTGGAACGCACTCCGCGGCTGGAAGCCATCCTGGAACCGACGTTGGACGTCGCTTAGTGGAGGGGCGACGAGGAGGAGGAGGAGGAGGAGGAGGAGGAGGAGGAGGAGAAGGACGAGGATAGAGCAAGATTGAGGATGATAGACGAGGAGGAGGAGGAGGAGGAGGAGGAGGAGGAGGAGGGAGGAGGAGCCTTTCTCGGGCCCTGCAGGCCCCTTTGGGGCCCTGCCGAGGCCCCTTCAGGGGCCCGGAAGGGCCCCGTTCTCTGCGGCCCTCGCTGCCCCCCCCCCCCCCCCCACGCCTCGGCCCCCCGCGATTGCGCGAGGCCCAACGACGGAGACGCGGGCGAGCTTCGGACTCTGAAGGGCCGCGATCCCCTGGAGGAGGAGGAGGAGGAGGAGGAGGAGGAGGAGGAGGAGCCTCGGCCACAGCGCAGGCGCCAACGTCCCCCAGCCCGAGGCCGCTGAGGTCCTCCAGCAGGGAGAGTGGCGGGGCCCACCGCCACTCCACCAGCCTCTTGCAGGGCTGGAGCTACACAGTGCTGTCCGTTGTCGTGTTGCCTTCGTTCTGTCTTCGTTCTGTCTTCGATCTGCCTCTGCTGCGAAACAAAAATTATCCCAGTGCGACCCTACCTAGGAGTTGGAGCATTTAGAAATGCAACATCTACATCTACATCGACAGCTACATGTACATCTACACCTGCATCTACATCAACATCAACATCAACAGCGAGACTCACATCTACCTCTGCACCTACATCTACGTCTACATATACATATACATATACATCTACACATACATCCACATCAACACCTACACCTACACCTACATCTACATCTACATCTACATCTACAATTTCGCATTGGTATTGTGTTTGCTTTGCATTGCCTTTGTTTTTGCGCTTGTCTTTGCTTTGACCTCTGCATTTGCTTTTGGTGTTGCTGTTGCCGTTGCGTTTGCTAAGCTAAGCTAAGCTGAGCTAGGCTAGGCTAAGCTAAGCTAATCTAAGCTAAGCTGAGCTAAGCCAAGCTGAGTTACGCTAAGCTAAGCTAAGCTAAGCTAGGCTAGGCTAGGCTAAGCTAAGCTAAGCTAATTTAGGTAGGCAAAGCTAAGCTAAGCTAGGCTAGGCTAAGCTAAGGTAAGCTAAGATGATATAAACCAAGCTAAGCTAATCTAAGCTAAGCGAGGCTAAGCGAAGCTAAGCTTAGCTGAGCTAAGCTGGGTGAACCCAAGGGGCGCAACTAGGGGAACCGCGGGGCGGATACTGGGGGAACCGCCCGGGGCGCTTTCCACTGCCCGGCCCCTTTAAGCCCAGAGAGTAAGAACCCTTCTGGGCAGAGCCTAGGTAGGGAACAACACATCAACGGCCCACGAAGTCGCCAAACCACCGTTTGGCTCTAGCCCTCGCCTCGTGGCCGAGCAGGCCCTCCGCAGGTGGACGCGTCCCAGGAAGGTCGGCCCGAAGTCTGCGACGTGCTGCAGCACTCCTGCGGCAGGCAAGCGCGCTCCACGACAGTCGGGGCGTTGACCCAAGGAACCCTAAATGAGGAACGAGGCCCCTTTTTCCCATCAGTTTAACTTCGATTTCCCAGCGAAGACCTAAGGATGACATAAGACAAACTGTGGAACAATTAAGGAACACCGAGCCCCTCCCCAACGAAAAGGGTTCCTTCTTCAGGGTCCCGACTGTACTCGCAGAAGGGCCAAACGCAAACCCACAGCACGGAGGCACACATCCTGGTGGGACCCCGTGACTTTGTCCACAGGATCCCACCTCAACCAGAAACGGTCAATGCCTTTGCCGACGGGGTGGTGACGTTGCAGAGCCGCTCACAGGAGAAACAAGACAACGGAAGCTGTGAGCCGTCCGATATTGTTCTCGTCGTCGCTTCGGTCCTCCTCTTTTCTCGTTTTGGTTCGCGTGTGCCTCCTCACGGTTCGACCGTCGCGCCACTGGCGGTGGAACTTGTCTCACCGTGTTCGTCGAATTCACCTCAAGCGCGCAAGGCTTCTCTCTCAATAACGAACGAAGCGGTTTTCTTACCAAGGCGAGCCTCGGCCACGACTAAGATCTTCACCCTAGGTCTAATGAACGACCCGCAAACCAGAGCCTCTCCTGAGCCCGAAATGGTCCTCAATTCAACGTCGTGACTATACAATGCGGAGACGGCCGCGAGAAGCCCTCGCCAGAAACCCTGCCTCAGAAATCCGCGCGCGAGGTGCAAGTCGTGGGGGACACCAAAGGCACCCCACTCCGAACGCAGCAGCCTCTCAAGGCCCGCAACGCGCGGCGCGTGCAGCGAAGGAGCCCCAGCTATATTCAGACGAACAGTGTTCGGTCTCTTGATGCGTGTCCCCACTGTAACGATACGTGCCTTCCCATTGAAATCGAACAACGACACTAATCAAACGATGTAAGATATATTGTCCTGGGCCGTGGGAACAATCATATTCTACACTTTCAGACGCATCATTGTTTGTAGGTGTCTAGCGCCATTGTTTCACCTGGACCGGAACCATTCCTGAACCGCTCTGGAACGTCCTTCGGATCCCCAGGCTGCCCAAGCTGTCTCGGTAAACTTTTCATTATTGTTTTGGTGCAGTGCTCTAATCGGAGATGGACAGAACCCCCTTCGTAAAACGTGGTTTACTGAAAACAACATCGGGCCCAAACCTGGCGGGCGTAAGCCTGGAAAATGACGGCCGCGGCGCCCTCTTGAGAACCGAAGACGGAGAATTCACTAATCGACGTGTCACTGTTGGGGGTTCTGTCCACCCCCGGTTGAACTGCTCAGGACCAAGGGACAACATTTTTCGGGTCGGGCGAAAGGGGGGGATAGCAAAGGGGGGGGTGAGAATAGCTGAGTTTCCCGGCGCCAGAGGCGGCATGTATCGAGGAATGGGCGCCTCGGTGGGGGCCGAAACAAGCTGCATGCAGCAAATTTCGTAACCCCCCTTTCCCAATCCCCCCCTTTCGTCCGGCCCGAGACTGGCCATCGCTCGGACGTCCACTCCCTGTGTTTTTGTCGGTTTCGTGCGTGGGCTGGTCGCCAAATGATCCAGGATGCTCCTCGAGGGTCCTCGCCGAAGGAAACATGCACACGTCCGAGCGATGCCAAGGAGATCAGGAGGCAACGTTCTGAAGAAGGGGAAGCCGGCCCTGCCGCCTCCAAGGGGCCCACGAGGCACGAGGGGCGGGCGCTCCTCCGACCCAGTGCGGCGGGAGAGACGCGCGGGCGGCGGTGCCCTCGCCCCCACTCTTGCCCCTTGGCGGGGCCAAGGCGCGGCGGGGCCCTGGCTCGCCATCGCTCGGACGTCCATTTCCCGTGCTTTTTTCGGTTTCGGGCGTGCTTTTTTTCTGCTCGACGGTCCAGGATCGTCCTCGATGGTTCTCACCGAAACAAAATGCACGCGCCCGAGCGATGCCCGGCTGGAAACCGCAAGGCCGTGGAAACGGCAGAGCCGTTTTGGAACCGTTGCCAAACAACTGCGTGCTGATCACGAAAGCGGCGCAACACATATCCCCCGGAACGGCCTGGGGAGCCCAGGGATTCGAACAGCGTTCGGAGCTGGTTCAACCATGGCTCGGGTCCGCAACCAAGAACTGAGACCTGGAGCAGCCCCCCACCAAAAGGAAACGAACACGGTAAACCATTTTCGTCGGAAACGTCCCAACACACAGCGCTGGAAACGATGCAAGCATTTGAAACACGAACGCAACATGAAAAACTGCCTTGTCGTTTCCAAGGCGCACTAACCACCGCCCATCGCCGTTGCATCGGCGAGGACGGATAGGAGAAGAACCGGCTCTGGATCGCGGCGCACCGCCGATGAGCCCGCAGTGCGGTTTAATTATCCTCAGCCGGCACGTTTCTAACTGCATTCAAAACTCGCCATTGCTCGGACGTCCCCTCCCCGTGCATTTTCTGGCTTCGCGCGATTAGTTGCTTCGCAAGATGATCCAAGATGCTCATCGAATGTCCTCGCAGAGAACAGATGGAGACGTCTAATCGATGCCGAGAAACGCGCATGCAGTGATGCGAAGATGATGAGTCTGCGACGTGGTGCGTTTCTCCGACCTCTGATCTCACGTGCTCTGGTCCCGTTTTGCGGCCAGGGTAAAAGCATCGATATGGCACACCCACAACGCGGACGGAAAAAGACGGGAGGATGCCCAGCAGCACGTGGCGGGTTCCGGAAACCCTGAACCCAAAGAGATTGTCATCTCTTTGGGGCGCATACTTTGCTTCTCCCGGCGGAGCCGGCTTCGTTTTGCTTCTGCCGCCTTCCGCCGAGGAAGATAACAGGGGGTAGGCCGACCCCGATCCCAGGCTTCATGGGATGTCGAACGGACCGAAGATCTTGGGCCCGACCCTGGGATAAACAGGCTTCATGGGATGTCGAACGGACCGAAGATCTTGGGCCCGACCCTGGGATAAACGATGGGAGGAGGAGGAGGAGGAGGAGGAGGAGGAGGAGGCCGTCCATTCTCCATGGGGGGGGGGGGGGGCGTCCGAGAGAGCCACCTTGGAGTGTGTATCCGGTACCCCAGGGCTCCCCCTCCCCCTGCTTCCGAGCGGCCAAACCTCTCGGGCGGAACCTGGGGGTCGGGGAAGCATCATCGCTCGCGGAAGAGAGGTCCACCTCTCCCATCCCTCGAGAACGCGCCCCTCTGGAGCGCCCCACGTGCCTGCAGCAGGGCTGAACCCAAGCGGTATTTCTCGTTCTCGTTTTGTTCTCTCGTCTTCCCTCGTCTTGTCTTCAACAATCCACCTCTGCCGCAGAACGAAGTCGACACGAAAACGGCACACAAAGTCGCCAAAGCACCGTTTCGGTCCAGCCCTGGCCTGCAGAAGCGAGGCGGGCCCCGCGCACGCTGGCACAACGAGCCTCGCGCGGTGGCCTGGGCGGGCCGCTGGCGCGGCGCGCCGCGCTGGGAAACACGAGGCCGCTGACGCGCCACGCTGCGCGGGCAGCTCGCGCGGGAGCGCCCGCGCAGTCGAACGCGCGGCCCTGGAGGGGCCCACGGGCACGCAAATACAGAAATACACAAAAATAGCAGGACTCCCCATCTGGCCATCGCTCGGACGTCCATTCCCTGTGTTTTTCGGTTTCGTGTGTGGTTTTTTCCCCACTTGATCAAAGATGCTCCTCGATGGTCCTCGCCGAAGGAAAAATGCACACGTCCGAGCGATGCCAAGCCATCTTTTCCCATGCCGATCGCCGCCGCTGCTTGGTGGGCGGCGTCGGCCTTCGCCCCCCCACGGCTTCCGGTCGCGCTGCTCGTCCCTGGGCGGGCGACGGGACCCCGACCTCCGCCGTCGACCCGCGGACTTCCAAACCGCTCCGCCGGGCCTGGCTCTTCAGCCTGGGTCGTTGCTGTCACGGTCTCGGGGCCTGGCATACAGGGGGCCAGGGACACGCAAATAAATGGACACAGATCCAAAGATTTCCCCCCATGTTCCTACATGTTCTGGGTCTTCGTCTTCCCCCCACTTCCCAGATTCTCCTATATGTATATATATATATATATATATATATATATATATATATATTTCTTGGGAAAGACAATTCTTTGTGTCTGCGTGTTCGTTTCCCTCCTGATGGTCGGGACGCCAATGAAGGCCGTACACCGCAACTGCAACTCTTTCCCACCCCCGACCGCTTGGCCGGCACCTTCCCAAGGCTGCCCGCGCGTACCTCTAAGTGGGGCTGGAGGGGGAACATCCAAAAATAGTCAAAACATAGTCTTGGAACGATTTTTCTACGAATTCTGTAATTCTTGAAAATTTGTTTGACTATTGTTCAGCTTTCCCCAGAAATCCGCCTGTAGGACATGCCCGACCTAACCTTACGCCGCGGCTTACGCGGGTCGCCGGCGCGGCACGCTACATTGGAAGCGAGGGCGCTGATGCGTCAGCTTACGCTAGCAACTTGCGCGCGAACATTCGCGTAGACGGCCCTGCTTTCTTCTGCCTCTCAGAGAGACGCCGAAATCCAGGACCCCCCCTGTCAAGATTTCAAGCAAAACTGTATGGCCAGAGAGCTGGGCAGACCATCGCCCCGCCGCCGCCGTCTATGGGTGAGCTCCTGGCGGCAGGTCCTGCAGCCGCATGCGTCAGGGGCAACGTCAGGGATAGGCTCAGGGGGGGGACGCATCGACCCCCGATCGCCCACTGCTCGCCGATGAAAAGGGGCCCGATGGCCCACCCCACCCAAGACCATACGGGTTCGTTATCGGGGGCCTATCGCCGATCCATCGGCGATGTATCGCCGACTCCAGTCTCGGGGGCGTCCAAAAGGGGGGCGTCCAAGAGGGGGGGGCACAAACCATGGTCGGCGGCATGTGCGCGGCCCAGGGGGGGGGGAGCCGGGGACGTATTGAAATAAGAGGCGTCGCCATGAAATCTGGGGAGATATCCTGGCCCTCCCCGCGACATCCCCTCCCCTATTGGAGGCCTGGAAATGGGCACCAATACCAACACAGGGGGTGGCCTCCACACGGGGAATATGATCCTAGATTTCAGTGTTGGTGGTAACATTTCGGCCACCTTGGAAGCCAGAATATTACCACCATCGCCGAGATCGGGATCTTTTACCCTCGGTGGAGGCACACCGCCGAAATTGGTGTTGGTGTCAATCTCTAGGCCTGCGACCCTATCCGTCACCCCCCTCTTGTCGGGTCGGGCGAAAGGGGGGGATAACAAAAGGGGGGTTTGATAATCAGCTCGCGTAAGTGATTCTCCCGGCGCCTCCCGGCGCCGGAGGCGGCTATGTATCGAGGAATGGGCCCCTCGGTGGGGCCGAAACCAGCTGCATGCAGCACATTTCGTAACCCCCCCTTTCCCAATCCCCCCCTTTCGTCCGGCCCGAGGGAGGGGGAGGAGGAGGAGGAGGAGGAGGAGGAGGAGGAGGAGGACCAGGGTGAGGAGGAGGAGGAGGAGGAGGAGGAGGAGGAGGAGGAGGAAGAGAGGCACCAACATGGCATGCCAGGTGCGCCGAGGCAGGAAAGGCAGCAAATTTCGTAACCCCCCAATCCCCCCCTTTCGTCCGGCCCGATCTTGGCCGCCCGCGACGGACCAGTGTCTTCCCCCCCGTGCCGGTCCCCCTGGGGGTCAGCGCTCGGGCCTCCGGCGGCCGTCCCGTGGACCTCTGCGGGGCGCAGCCGCTGGAGGCTGGCCAGCCGCCGAGGCGCGGCGAGAACGCCCGAACACCCCAGAGACCTGCGACCTCGAACCTTCGAGCGTGCTCCCCTAATCGGGCGTTGGCAGCGCGGTCGGGCGTTGGCAGCGCGGTCGGGCGTTAGCAGGTGCCTGTTTTTCTTTGGATTCGGGCAAGTTTACTTGCATGGACGGGGGGGTGGGGGTGCTGAGTCTGAAGCAAGCCGAAAACAATTCGACGTAGTCTAGTCGAAAGGCACTTGCACGCTCGTGTTCGATTGAAGAGGGGCGAGGGGGGAGAGGGGGGGGGGGGGGGGGGGGGCGAACGCCATGCAAGTAAGCTTGCCTGGGTCTAAAGAAAAACAGGCCCCAGGACGGGGTGTCGTCGGGCCCTGGTTTCGTGCTGCCGGGGTTTCGTGGGACCTGGTTTCGTGCTGTGTACCGGGGGGAGCCCCCCCGCCCCATGCCACTGAGCGGAACTGCCGCCACCCGAAACGCACCAGCTATGGCGGACCTGTCTTGGTGAGCCTGGCAGATTTCAAAGGCTTCGGGGCCCTATCACTAACCAGGTCCCCTTACCCGGGGTCCTGGCTACACCCGACCTGAGCCCTCCCCTGGTCGTCGCCCCTCCATGAGCCCCTCGCGCGGCGGCGCCGCCGCGGCGCTGCTCGCCAGCCGCCGCCGCAGCCGCAGCCGCGGCCGGAGCCCCGCGGGGCACTGCGGCCTCGCCTGCGGGCAGCGTCGTGAGCAGCACTTGGCCGACGGATCCCCGTCGAATGGTTCTACATGAGAGGACCCCTAACCCTTTGGGAGGGGGCCTCAGTGAAGAGGGCCAGGACACATCGGGAGAACAAGCGGCTCCAGGAGGAGGAAGGGAGCACGCCGAAGATTACAAGGATGAGGAGGGGAAGGAGGAGGACAATCCGCTTGTCCTCCTCCTCCTCCTTCTCCTCCTCCTCATTCGGAACGAATATCGATCCCTATCTAAGGATAACATCGGGTAAGGACACATCGGGAATATCTGAGATCCGGCGGCTCTGGACTATGTATCGGGCGCCGCTGCCATCTCAGAGCGCTCTGGAACGCTCTGAGAGCGTTCTGGAACCCTCTGAACGGATAAATCCTCGTCATGGCCCCGTCCGACTGTCCCCATTGGCGTGGCCTTGGCCCCACTCGTCCACTTACCAGGCCACCCTGAGGAGGAGGGGAGCACGCCGAGGATTATAAAGATGAGGAGGAGGAGGAGGACGATCCTCGTCCTAGCCCCGTCCGACTGTCCCACTGGCGTGGCCTTGGCCCCACCGGTCCACTTACCAAGCGCTGAAATTGCTCAACTCCGCGCGTTTTTTCACACCCGGCTTCGGGACCCGCGACCGTCACAGGCCGATCGGGCTAAGATAGGGTCTTGGGCTCCAGTCGTGATTGTTCTCGCGATGTTGCAGTTTTTTTCGAAAAGTCCTGGAGTTAGGTGGGATGGGTTTCGCCTATTTCCGATGTTCGATGCGATTTTCCTTTGATTTTCAATACGATGTTGGATTGGTGGGATGGGATAGTCCTTCGATCTTCGATGCGCCTGTTCCTTCGGGTTTCGCGTGGCCGATCCCCACATAGGAGGGTGGGTTGGTGGGGCTGAGGCACCATGGCACAGTGGAGATGGGGACAGGTCAAACGATCCTGACGATAGGGCGGGACCTAAACGTTGTTCTTCGTTGTGTTGTCGTCGTGTTTTTCGTTTTGCTCTACCTGTTTTCCTGGACCTCCCTCCCAAAACGAAAAACAAAACACAGCCGAAGTCCAGCAACACAAGCCCTGATGGGGATAGACGCCTGTTCCTTCGGGTTTCGCGTGGCCGATCCCCACCCAGGAGGGTGGGCTGATGGGGCTCAAGGTACCATGGCACAGTGGAGATGGGGACAGGTTACAGTGGAGGCCCGTTCACAAGAAACCTTCCACAAGAAACCCAACCCTGAGACCCCAGGACGTCCATTGAATTTTGATGTGGGAACGCCACGTAAACCATCCTGACGATAGGGCGGGACTGGCTCAGGGGGAGAAGCGTCGAGCTGGGATCGGCGACGCATCGGCGATCGATCGGCGATAGGTCCCCGCTAGCAAATCCGCATGCTCCTGAGGGGGGTGGACTATCAGGCCCCTGTCGGCGACGATCGATTGGGCGAGTTGGGGGTCGATGCTTCCGCCGCTGAGCCTATCCCCCCCTAACTTGGAGAATGGTGGCTTCTGCAGCATCTGTCGGGGCGAAGACCAAGAGTGGCTCCTTCCAATCGCATGGGCTCCTTTGTCTCTAACCTTGGTGGACCCTGAAAACGGCTAGACCGTTTCTTTAGAAACTGCTCATGGTCCGCCACCGTTCCGCTGGGCACGGCATGGGCGTCTCCTCGGGTCCTTTGCCTAATCCCCTGAGCCTCAATCCTAAATCCTGAGGAGTTTCTTAGGGGCCCGGACCCTAAATTCCCAAGTCTTCTTGGGTTTGCCGCGGTTTCTGTGGGCACCGTCGCGGTTTCCAGCATGAGTGAGTGGTTGGGGCCCAAGAGGGGCTCCAAGAGGGCCTCGAATCGCCGAACGATCGTTCCCAGACGTCCAAGATGGCCCCAGGACGGCCCCTGAAGCTTCCGAAACGCCCCGAGAGGCCTCCTAAGATGGTCCCAAGTAACAGAACTACTGTTGTTCATCACATGTTTGCAAGATTTTGGCGTTCTCGTCGTTCTCGCTTCCGGGCACTCCAAGACGGCCCACGAGGCCCCAAACATCGACCCAAAACGGCCCCATAGGCCCCCAAGAGGGCTCCACGACGGCCCAAGAGGGCCAAAAAGCGCCCAGGACGGCCAAAGAGAGCCAAAACGGGGAACCCGACCGGACATTTCGAGCCCTCGGCCCGGGGGCCCCCAGAAGGCCCCCAAGAGGCGTCCGAAAGGCTTCAAGAGGCCCTCAGTGGCCCCAAGAGACCCCAAGGGCCCCCCACGAGGCTCCCAAGAGGCCCCACAACTGCTCCCAGGAGGCACCCGAGAGCGCTCCGAAGAGACCCGAAGAAACATCCATGAAAACTCGGACCCACAATCCAGGCACGGTAGCGGGATGGGCCGAATTCCAAAAGGATTTGCCTGGAAATCCAAACGACTCCTGAGGAAATCCATCGGATTCCTAAGGACATCCATTGGATTCCTTAGGAAATCCATGGGAATCCTTAGGGACTCCATGGGATTCCTGAGGAAATCCATCGGATGCCTGGGGAAATCTACAGGAATCCGTCGGAAATCCACACAAGTCCAGAGGAAATCCATACGAGTCCTCAGGACATCCATAAGATTCCTTCAGACAAATCAATAGGAATCACCAGGAAATCAATTGGATTTCTTAGGAAGTCCATTGGAGTCCTTAGGAAATCCATAAAACTGCTCACGAAACGGCCTTGGCAGCCCGAGGATCCGAAGGACGTGCGGAGCCGCTGCGAAAACGGCTCGCGTCCGTGAAACACTGTAATCTGGAGCAGGCTACCAGCAAATGAGGGGGCCCAGGGACACGCAAATAAATACACACGAATCCCGGGATTGCCCATATTTTCATATATTGTCTGGGTTTTCGTCTTCCCCCCACTTCCTATATTTTCCAATATTTTCTGAACTATTTGTGTCTGTGTGCTTTTTCTCCTCCTGCGCCAAAAGAAACGAAAACGCGAAAACACGACGGCGCCGGAAACGTCAACAACAACAACAGCGCTAGATGTTGCAGAAACCAGCTGGACCACGAAAACGGGAAAACAAGTATCCTGCCGCTTCCAAGATACAACAAGCGCCCGATATCGCTGCTGCATCGGCGACGCCGGGGTGGAGACACGCTGGCTCTGGATCGCGGCGCGCCGCCGATGAACCCCTGATGAGGTTTGATTCAATTCTCTCTAGCCAACGCGTTTCTCTCACGTCTGGCCCAAAACCAGCATCTCCCGTTTCTCACACGTTGATTCACCACCTGCCTCGCGTTTCTCTCGCGTTTCTCTCACGTTTGATTCAACACCTGCCTCAAAATGAGCATCTCCCGTTTCTCTCACGGCTGGCCCCAGGAGGGCACCAGTCCAGTCCAGTCCAGTCCCGAGGCCCAGGACGGGCCCGAGCCCTGGGGCCCAGGAGGAGGCCCCTGCCCTGGGTCCAAGGCAGGAGGCCCAAAGCAGCCCCCCCTCCATATCTGGCTCACCCTGAGACCCGACCGACCAAACTGCACTGCAACACCGTGACACAGACAAACAAACACAAAAAAAACACCCCGCGCCCTGAGCCCGATCCTCCTGCGGCATCTCCCGAGCCTCGTACCGAGAGCGCCCCGCTGCTGGAAAGAGATGCAGCGGCCGGATCTGAAGGCTCGGCCAGAACTGCCACTCATCGCCGCCTGGCCTTGTGGATGCCATGACAGTGGACACTCGAACAGTCCTATCATGAAATCAAAGATGTGTGTAACATGTGCACATGTAAAAAAATGTTCTAAAAATGTTTCAGACATGCTTTAAACATAGTAAAACATATTGGAAACATGCTTTGAACATCTGGGAATTCTTTGGCAACGCGCTTCCTCTCCATTGATCGACTTCCGCAAGCCTGGCCCGGCGGCGCCGCCCGCCGCGCGACCGCGGGCCGGGCCCTCCCGGCTGCCGCGGGACCGGCCATGGCGACCCCGCGGGAGGCCGTGTGGGAGCTGTGTAGCTCGCTTCCTGCTTCAGTTAAGTTCACAAAACCATTAACATCTGCGAAAATACATCCCAACGGCAGACGGTTGCTCTGAATTTTCGAGAGCTCTGCTGCAGCTACAGCCATGAGACTTTCACCATGAAACGCGCCATGATCAACTACGGAATCAAAATCGGGGTTTCGCCCAGGCCCGCGATGTCGAAGGGCGAGAGGGCGCCTCGGAGAGCGGCTCGGCCCGCGCACCGCGCCGCTGGAGCGGCACGGGGCGCCCGAGAGGGGCTCGGCGTGCACACCATCGCCGCTCGATCGGTCCAGGAGATAGGCGAAGAAGAGATCGGCGCGTGGGCCCACTGCGGCGATCGCTGTGGCCTGCAATAGCGAGGGCGACGGCATCAATACGCATCCGCTGCTCCCTGGCCAGGCCAGTCCGAACCCAGCAGCGGTGTGCTCAGGCCGCGCCCTCCTGGCTTGACCAGGAGGGCGTATGCACAGCTCCTGGGCTCAGGATGGGCCTAGCCAGGGAGCAGTGGAGATGCATAGACTTAGTCGCTGGAAGAGTTGCAAGTCCGCCTCGCTGATCCAAATTGGGTCCGTAACTTTCTCAGACCTCGAGCAGTTGGGCGGACTTGCGATTCACTTCCAGGCGCCTTGCAAACGGGTTGCAAACACCTTGCAACTGTTGCAACTGTTGCAAGTCCAGCCGACTACAACAGCAGATCGCCGACGATGTGGTTCTTTCAACCGGCGGGCTCTTCTAGATCTCAGCCCTCTCGAGCGCACCGCTTGCTTTTCGAGGCCGAGCTCGATTCCTGACAGTGCACACTTCTCTCGAGAGGGGGCCCAGGGGACTCCTGGGAATAGGCTTCCTCAGAGGCTGGTAGAGCCAGACCACTCGCGTCCTAGATATCCGACGCCGTGATCCTTCCACAACGCGGATCCCCAGAGGTCTGGATGGCCCCCTTCGCAGGCAATCGATTTCGTCCTGGGCAACTTTTCCACCGTCCCGAGGCCCGCCAAGGCCCCTGGAGGCCGAAGACGGACGAAACTTCCCGTCGTACGATGCCGATATACCGCCCCTCTTGAGCCCTCTCCCGGGGGTGCGTTCTGACCAGAACGCTTGAACACCCAGCCATGGCGACGAGGGCCTTCTCAGAAGGCCCTCGTCGCCACTCTGGCAGCGAGGAGTTGGACGCCCGAAACGGCCACGATGCCCACCAAATCGTACCGAGAGGAGGCCGGGGCTCTCTCACGAGGCCCCCACCCCCGCGCGCCGCCGAACACAACCGCTCCCACCTCGGCGGCCTGCGCCGGGCGGCCCCGGCGGGGAAGGCCGGGGGGGCGGGGCAGCGGCCCAGGAGCCGCAATGGCTGTGCGGCATTGCGGGCGGCCCGATCAGGTTGACGGTCCACCGCGCGCCACTGAAATTCTGTACGCGTGCACCCTCCGGTAAGTTGTCCCCGTGCCCCCAGGGAGGGTGGCGGTGTATACACTCGCTGGCTCACCGTAGCGACTTGCACACGGTCAGCCTCCGCTGAGGCACAGCAAGGGTCCAATTGGGGGGAGCTCAGTGCATCAGAGTGAGGGGAGCGACCGGTCATTCACTGTCCCTGGGTGCGTGGTTGAAGTGGGCTTCCACGGTGCGGACTCTTATTGCGTTGTTGCGTTGCGTTGTTGCGTTGTTGTCGTCGTCTTCGCCCGCGACCCGCCCGCGACCCACCCCGCGACCCACCCTGTGACCCATCCTTTGACCCAGCCGCAACCAACCTACGTTGCTTTGACGACACAGTCGGCGCCTGCGGCGGACTCCTACTGTGGTGTCTATGAAGGGGCCCCAGGACACACAAATAAATACACACAAATCAACAGATTCCCTATATTTTCCGATATTTTCTGGGTTTCTGTCTTCCCCCCCACTTCTCAGATTTTCCCATATTTTCGGGGGAATCGAGGATTAATTGTGTCTGTGTGTTTCTTTTCCTCCTGAGTGTAAGAAACCCCCCGCGGCCAGTTTCTTCTGAACTTGGCAGACTGCCCACGACCCCGCCGCCCTCTCACTCGTATGCGCAGTTGCGGGGTGCTATGCGCTGTCGAAACGTGGATTAAGGATGGGGGGTAAGGACGCTAGACCCTTGGAGGCCTAAATTGGGATTTTTGCTGGGCGGCGGGCGACCAGTAAGAACGGCAAAGGACGGGCCGCAGAGGCAAGGACACAGAGGTACCCTCGATGAAAGCGCGCGTCCTTGCTAAGCGCGTTGACGGTATTCTTTTGGTGACGGAGGGAACTTTTGCGCAGAGTGACGCGGCGACGACCCTCGCGGCACGCTGTGCCCTGCAAGCGGATAGCGTGTCGCTCCGCTCCGCGGGGCGGGAGGCAGTGGTTAGCGTGTCGCAGCGAGGGTCAGAAAATGGGGGAGCGACACGCTGAGCCAAACCTCCTGACCATAAGAAAACCGAGCCGGACTGTCAAAGCACGTCGATGCAGCTTTCGGTCGAGCACGGGAAAAAAAACTCGTCCATTGCGGGGCCACAAGGGCCCCGACCGCTTCTCAAAGGGTAAGGTCATATCATCCCGGGTCCGTGTTCGATGGTCCCGTGGCCCTGAACTTGCCCCCCAAGGATGGAGTCTAACAGAAATACCCGGCTCCTTCTCCTCCCTCCTCCTCCTCCTCCTCTTCCTCCGCCTTCTCCTCCTCCCCCCCCTCCCTCCACCGCCCGTCCCATGTCCCGAGCCTGTAACAAGATCATCAGCTCGTCGTTGCCGTTGTCGTCATGGTCGCCGTCGTCGCTCTGGGTCGGCGGCACAGGCCGCAAGGCCGTCACCACAAAGACACCCGGATCGGAAAGGTCAGATCGTCGGAGAACCGGCCCCTCCTGCGCCAAACCAGGGTGCGCCAGCACTGACCCGACAGCGGCCCGCGGGCCCTCGCGGCGCCCGCCGGTGGCGGCACGCCAAACTCGCCATGCCTGGGGACACCCATTTCCCGTGCACTTTTCGGTCTCGTGCGCTTGTTTTCTTTCGCTAGATGGTCCTAGATGCTCCCCAACGGTCCCCGCCGAGAAGAAGTGCACACGACGAGCGATGCCAAGAGAAGGGGCGAGATCAGCCAGCACCGCACCGCGAGATCGGATCGGATCGCCACGGGCATCGGATCCAGATCTCCCGACCCTTCCTCGATCCTTCTCCGGCTCTCCGGCTCTTTCTCGTTCCTCGATCCTCGTTCCTCGCAACCGCACTTCGCTCCTCGATGTCGGCCCTATAAGGGGCCCTCTGCGGGCCCCGGGACCATCACCCATCGATCCGGGATATGACCTGCCCCGGGGGGGAGCCGTCGGGACCTCGGATGTCGGGGGCTCCCGATGCGTGGGCACAAAGTCCGAATCGACTCGGATCGGCTGCGCGTGGATGCACAACAGCTCCGTGCGAGCATCGGGCAACACGGGATTGTCGGAACTTTTCCGTCGGCGGCGGCAAGGCAGAATTGGCTGCACCCGCGATCGAGCTGGACGGGGGCACTGAAAGCGAATTGGCCAGCACGCAAGAGCGGGAAGAGGGCAGGCAGGCGGCCGCGGGGGCTGGGGAGAAGAAAACATATCCTGAACGGGGGAGGGAGGATCTTCGGGGCGATGGAGGTTCAGGAGGCATGTTAGTGCAGTAGCAACATACGATACAGAAAACGTGCCATGAGAAATCTAGGAGCACGGCTGTTGTCGCTGGTTCAGCTGCCTGAGGTGACCCAAGAGTTCTAGGGCCTCCCCGAGGCCACCCAGAGGTAGACATTTCCGTGGGGCAGCTGCTGTGGCGGCGCGCACACGAGGAGTAGGGGGAGGGGTGACGACTTCTTAAGGAGGGCGCTTCTTAGAAGGCGCCTGCCCTACATCTCTAGCCAAGGCCCGCCCGACAAAGACTATCTCGAAGTTCCAGGCAATACAAGAGACCCCCAAATCGGCCCTACAGGGCCCCAAGATGGTCTGGAGGGAGACCCATCACGGCCCACGATGGTCCCAAAATGCCCTGAAGCACTCCAAATCGTGACCCCGTCGCTCAGTGAGATCGCAGTTGGAAGCAGGGTGGCCCGAGGAAGCCCCCAGAGGCCCCCAAAGGCGCCCAGGAGGCCTCCAGAAGGCCCCAAGAAGCCCTGTAAAATGTTCGTGAGGCCCCTAAGAAGCTCTCCAAGGAGAAGCCTCCGCAAAAAGAGCAGAGGAGGATGGGGAAGAAATCGTAGGGAAGGGCGCGGATGAGGAAGAGGAAGAGGACACATGAGGGAATGATAACGAATTACATTATTATGACGACGATGCTGGTCAAGGCAACGAGGAGTTGTCGCTATGTGTTCTGTTTTACCTTCCTCGTACATGGAGTGGAAGAGGCCGATTACGAAGTCGGGCCCGCACTGGAAAGTGAGGACCTTCAATGGCCAGCTGCGGGCCATGAAGACGAAGGCCGTGCTCTAATCCATAGCAATGCCTATGGGAAGAAAGCTGCCCGGCGGACGGTAGAAGGCCTGGACCATGTGCGCGTCTAGCTCCACGGTGTCGTCAATGAAATGCCGATGCTTGACAAAACCGCGCTGCTCAGGCGGGGCCTGGGCAGCGAGGACAAAGGTCATCGTGAGGGCCGTGCTGCCGGCGATCGTCTTGGCGCCCGTGTGTGCGGCCGCATGGCGGCCGAAGGTTGTCGAGCGCGCGGGTGACCTCAACGGGGTCACGATCAGGTTGTCCCGTGGGCGGCGCAGCAAGCGAGGAGTACGGCATGGCTCGGACTGGCAGCACTCCTTTGAAGAAGAGAGCTGAAACCTCAACGATCGCCTCGACGGCCGTGGGGATCAGGAGGTCAGGGTAAGGAATGCCACCAGGGCCAGGGGACGAACGACCGCGGGAGTGCAAATCCTGAGAGAAGACTTGGGCGGGCGCAGCGCCGTCATGTCCCAGCGACGACCGATGATGTTGATGATGATGATGCTTATGATGGTGATGATGATGGTGATGATGATGGTGATCAAATGCTCCACTGCATGAAGTCTTCGCCAAATGAACTGGACTGCTAAACTGACGTGTTCAAAACTTGTGCGAAGACGATGGGTGATCCAGAGCCCCGACTGATACGAGCGATGGCTGATACAGAGCCCCAGCTGATATGAGCGATAGAGAGGAGGAGGAGGAGGAGGAGTAGAAGGAGGAGGAAGAGGAGGAGGAGGAGGAGTCGCACACCGACCGCACGGTAAAGCGCACGAAGCAGACGAGATCAACAACTCATCGGCATCACGGTCACCGACGCGACGCAGAATAGTAGAAATGCATTCCCGCGCAAATTAGTACGCCGACGGAGCATCGACGCCAGCGTCAGTCAGTTTTCGGGCGAAGCTGGGAAACAGGAATCTTTACCTGTCGCATAGAATCCAAGATTATTGGCAAAGGCAGCCTTGGCCACGTCAATCAGATCGGCATTCTGGCGAACCAATGGTTCAACCCTAGGATGGCTGATGATGACGACGACGGTGATGACGATGACAATTATGATGATGATGACGATGACGGAATGTGTAAACTCTTACTCCTCGAACGCAATCAGCGCGCAGGGGAGTCCAGGCATCCACCGATATGATTGTTTCAACTCGCGGCCCCAGACACCCATACCACTTCCCGGGGATGGCGTTTCGTCCCCAGCCCCAACTCAGTTTTTGATGGTTCGGGGGGCCAGAAACAGTCACCGAAGACCTAAATCGAGGAACCAACGCCAGTCAAAAATTCATGTCGTCACAGACGTCCGGTGCTCAAATCCCACCAGCGCTCTGGGCGGAGGTGATTCAGGGCGTCACCTCTTCCGCTCACCCCTGCCGCATAGCCCCCCTCCCCCATGGATCTGGACAGGGCGTGGGGGCGCGAGGTGTCAGAGAGTCTTTTTTGTTGCCAGAGATGGCTCCAGGCGGACCCAAGGTAGCCTCCAAGGTGGCCCAGGGGGCCCCTGCCAGGCCCCCTGCCAGGCCCCCTGCCAGGCCCCCGGACCGTCCACTGGCGGCTCGGAACGGCAGACCCGCCCCTGGGGAGGCGGTCCGGGCCCCCTGGGAAGCCACGCTGTGGACAAATCACGACGTCGGAGGTCTGGGGGCATCGATGCTCCGAGATGGCCTCCAGGGTGGCCCAAGACAGCCGTCGACGGCTTGAGATGGCTTCCGACATGCCTCCAAAGGGCCCCAGGAGGGCCACAAGACGGTAGCCAAGTGCACTCGGAGCCCCCGCGGGGCCCCCCGAGAAGCCAACATTACCCAAACACCTAATCCCCCTCCTCCCCCTCCTCCCCCTCCTCCCCCTCCTCCCTCCTCCTCCGCCTCCTCCTCCTCCTCCGCCTCCTCCTCCTCCGCCTCCTCCGCCTCCTCCTCCTCCTCCTCCGCCTCCTCCTCCTCCACAAATCGTTGAGTTTTGCCTTCTCGCCAAGTTGCTTCCGATGCGCCTCGGAGGCCTGAAGATGGCGCCACGGCCTGAAGATGGCCCCACGGTGGCGCAACGAAGCCCCAAGATGGGCCCAAGAGGCCCCCGAGACGGTCCCGAGAGCCCAAGATCGCCCCAGGAGCGCCCCAAGAGGGCCCCAAGGCGCGATGTCGAGGGCCCCAAGAGGGGGGACGCTGAGCATTTGGACCTCTCTCTTTTCACCGACGCCCTCCACGATAGCCCCGACAAGACCTCCGAGGCTCCCAAGAGGCCCACAAGAGAGCTCCAAGCGGGCCACGAGACCCCAAGAAAGAGCTCCAAGAGGACCCCGAGCTCTGTCAAAAAAACCAAGAGGGCACAGAGATAGCCTGAAGAAGACCGCAAGAGGGCCCAACAATACTCCAAGATGGCTCCTTGAATCCTCGTCCGCGTCGTCCTTGTCCTCGTCCCGTTTTCCTCGTCCTCGTCTTGCTCCTTCTCCTCCTCGTCCTTGTTCTCGTCGTTATCGTCCTCGTCCTCCTTTTTCTTCCTCCTCCTCTTCGCCCTCTCCCAGCCCATATTTTCCTCCTCCTCCTCCTCCTCTTCCTCCTTGTTCTCTTCCTCCTTGTTCTCGTCCTCGTCCGATTCCCCGCCTTCGTCCTCGTTCTCGTCATCGCCCTCGTCGTATTCCTTCTCCTCCTCCTCCTCCTCCTCCTCGTCCTCGTCCTCCTCCTCCTCCTCCTCCTCCGCCTCCCCTTCCTTCACAATCGCTAATTCCTCCTCCTCCGCCTCATGCTCTTCCTCTTCCTCCTCCTCCTCCTCCTCCTCATCCTCCTCCTCGTCCTCCTTTTCCTCCTCCTCCTCCTCCTCCTCCTCCTCCTCCTCCTTCTACTCGTTCTTATTTGTGTTCCTCCTCCTTGTTCTTCTCTTCCTTCCCCTATTCGTCTTCGTCCTCGTCTTCTCCTCATCCTACGGATCAGCATCGTGTTTGTCTTTCTCGTTGTGTTGCTCCTTGTCTTCGCCCTGGTCCTCGTCCCCGTCGTCGTCATCGTCGCCAAAAGAGAAAATAAGTTCCCGGCCCGTTTTCTGGACCCCCCCGAGCGAAGAAGTATTCCCCTCGATGAACAGGGAAGCGGTTCAGTTTCCCCCTCCGGCGAATCGTTCTGTCAATTGTCGCGTTTCTTCTCCTCATGTCTCCTCCTCCTCCTCCTCCTCCTCCTCATCATCATCATCATCTCATCATCATCACCATCATCCTCCTCATGCTGCTCCTCGGGAACCTTCCCTCCCCTTCTGTCTGCTCATCGTCATCCTTGCGGCTTCTTCCCTTTCCCGCCTCCTGGTCATAATCATCTTGTCCTCATCTTCTCCCTGTTCCTCCCATCCCCATCAGTATCACCATCACCACCACATTCGTCTTCATGTTCGTTATTCATCCTCTTCCCCCTGCTACTCCTCGGCGTCCCCCCCCTTGTCCTTCATCTTCGACAGAAGCGCGAAGGCACACATACGTATATATATATATATATATATATATATACATACATACATACATACATACATGCATACATACACATGTACTAAAACCACGCGCATGTAGGTTCTGGTCATCTCCGAAGACCGCATCCACAGCCTCATCATCTGTATCCTCATCCAATTCCATGGCACGCGCGCAATCCTTGAAGCCACGGGCGCGGGAATGGGGTCGCGGGAGGGTGAGAGGGAAGAGGGAAGGAGAGGGGAGGAAGGGAGGACATGAAGCACGGAAACAGGGAGGCAGGACGAGCAAACAGGGAGGGAACGGGAAAGGAAACGAAGGATGGATCAGCGGATGAATAGGGACTCTTTTCCTGCTGTTCCTCCGCCTCCCCATTGTTGTTGTTGTACCTTCCTCCTCCTCCTCTTCGATATCCTCGCCTTCGTCCTCCGCCTCCGCGCCTCCTCTTCCTTTGTTCGGCCGGCGGTGACAATCATGTTCCCACAATGCTTTCTGGGAGCATGACAGGGCTGAACCTAAACGGTGTTTTTCGTTTTCGGTTTGTTTTCGTTTTCCTTCGTTTTGTCTTCAATCCACCTCTACCGCAAAACGAAGTCGAAACGAAAACGGCCCACGAAATCGCCAAAACACCGTTTGGGTCCAGCCCTGGAGCATGATGGCTTGGGCCGTGATGGGGGCCATCTGGACTGCCTCTGGGCCCGCGTTGGAATCATCCGGGAAGGCCGGAAGGATGAGGGAGCAGCGGCTGAATGGGGGTTACGCCTCTGCCTTCCGTTGAACCTCGCCGGGGCGTCTCCTGCGCCGTTTCCGGGCGCAGGGAAGCGCAGGCAAGCGACGACGGCGAAATCTGCGAAAGAACGACGGGAGGTCAGCTCTTTTTGCCTCGTGGAGCTCTGTCGAGAAAAAACCATTTTGGAGCCCCCTTGGGCTGGGTTAAGCGCCTCGTGGGCCGTCTCGGATTCACGGTGGGCGCTGCGGCCGCTGTGGCGCCTTGTGGGCTCCCTCGAAGGCCCTCGTGGCGTGTCCAAGCTCATTTGGGGGGCTATATCGAAGGGGCCCCAGGACACGCAAATAGATTCACACAAATAAGAGGATGCCCCGTATTTTCCCATATTTTCGGGGTTTCTGTCTTCCCCCCACTTCACATATTTTCCAATATTTTCCTGGGAATCGACGATGAATTGTGTCTGTGTGTGTTCTTTCCCTCCTGATATATCGGGCCCTCTTGAGCTATCTGGTGCACGCCTTGGGCCGTCTTGGCGCCAACAACAATGTTTCGGGGCTCTCTTGGTCGCCTCAGGTGCCATCTTCGGGGCTCGGGCGGCGGAGCAGGCGACAGCGGGAAACTGCTGGAAAAGCAAAAGGAATAAAACGAGTTCTGCTTATGGGGGCTCTCTTGGAGGCCGTCTCGAAGCAATGGTGTGGCGCGCTGGGGGCGTACCGGGTGCTGGGGGAATTCGACGTGCTTCGGAGGGACGTGCACAAGAGCATGTTCACATTGAGAACGCCCCAAGGGGGGGTCGGACCGACGACGTCCTGGGCGGCGGCGTTCGGGGCGGTTGCAACGAAAATATTTCGCGATTGCGTGCTCCAGAGACACGTTTCTGGAGCATGTGGAGAGCACGCAGGCAAGGGGGCTGGCAGGCCTCAGGGGCGTCTCTGGGGCACCTGAGAGACTGTTTGGGCTATCTGGGCCATGTGGGCTCGAAGCCGTCTTGGAGGCCACAGCGGCCGTCTTTCGGGGCGTCCTGAGGCGTCGTGGCGTCCTTCGGGGTCACCTTGGGGCTCTCGCGGGGGTTTCTTGGGCCATCTTGGAGCGATTATGGAAACCCTCTCAGGCCGTCCTGGGGCTGTTCAGGATTGTCTTGGGCGGCCCAGGCCGTCTTTGGGCTGTCTTCTTCTGTTTCGGAAGCGCGGGCGGCACAGACCTCACAATGGTCTACAGTCCCATGGGGAGCGCTCGGGTACCAGCTGAGGGGTACCAAAAAAGGAAGACTCGCCCAGGTAGCAGTCCCGGCTGCTTGAATCAGCGTCGCCGGTATGCCGCTGCCCTGGTTGCTGACTGCGCAACGACGTAGCGCCGCATCCCGCCCGCTGTCTTTGTCAGCGCACTGCCCTCGAAACGGACAGTGTAACCTGCGTGGCGGCATGCGTTGCGGCACACGTTACGCCGGTGGCAAGACCGAGCTGTTTGCGACCAGTCAGGCACCTTATACCTGCGCGGGTGCAGCGGGAACTCGGACGATGCGAAAAGACGCCAAGGCAGCGACCCGGTTGCTTGAGTAAGCCTCGCCGGCACGCCGCTGCCCTGGTTGTTGACTGCGCAAGTACCTAGCGCCGCATCCTGCCAGTTGCATGCGCCAGTGCACTGCCCCAAAAACGAAAGCTGCGCGGCGGCACGCTTTGCGCCAACGGCAAGACCGAGCTATTGAACCAAGCAGTCATCTTCGAAATGCGCGGGTGCACCGAAAGCTCCGCCGCTGCGAAAAACGCCAAAGTAACGAGCCTCGCTCAATATGCCGCTGCCCCGGTTGCTGGCTACGCAAAGATCTAGCGTGGCACCCTGCGGGTTGTCTGCGCCAGCGCGCCGCCCTAAAAACGTCAAGTGCAGGCTGTGTGGCGGCGCGCATTGCGCCAGCGGCAAGACATAACCGAGCTATTCGTGACCAGTCAGTCATCTTAAATCTGCGCGGGCGCAGAGGAAGCTCCACTATTCCGCACAGACACGCCGAGGCTGCCCCATATGCCTTGCCCGCATGCCGCTGCCCTGATTTGCTACTGCGCAGGTGCCCCGCCGCCCCGCGTCATCATCTCTAATATCGATGCCCCCTCCCCTTTCCCCTCTCTCCTCCCCGCCTTTCCCCTCGCAAGCTCGCCCAGCAGCGCGAGCGCGGGGGGGCCCTCTCCACCTTCGCCCGCTTCGCGGGAGCGTCGAGCAGAAACATTGCGCGGTGGCTACTGTTGCCGCATGCCTCCTGTCTAACCGCGCACATGGGGGTGCTTGTTCAAAACTGCCGGCAAAAGCTGGGCACCCCCAGCGCCGCCCCCTGCGCGGGGCGATCGCGCTTCGCGAAAGCCACTGGCGTCGGGGAGACCCGCGCCGCCAGCTGCAAGGCCCCTGCCCCCAATGCGCGCCTGTCGCAGCCGCGCGGCAACTTCGCTCGCGCAGAGCGCGACGCGAGCTTGAGCGACGAGATCATCGAGCACGCGCCGACCCAGACGTCCATAATTCGGCGGAGCGCTCGACGCCTCCACCTGCGTCGGCAAGAAGAAATCCCCCAAGATGGCCCTCGCGTCTTCAGCGTTCGCCTCGCAAGAGAACGCAGATGCGACGCTGCCCGCCAGGGTCCCGCACAGCCAGTTGTCCGAGAGCGCTGCCATCGAATTCCCTCTGGCGTTCTTGGGCGGCGTCGAACTTCACCTGGCGCCCCCCCTGACATGCCGAACCACTTGTCTTCGACGGCGGTGAGGCGCATGGGCCCCCGCGCGATCGATTCGGAAAAAGGCGTTGTTGACCGAGGCCGGGATCTGCAGGGTCGACGTCGCTTCGTCCTCAGCCCGGATCGCGCTGGCGCCCTGCCCCCTCAGATCGGGAAATGAATGCCGCCGAACGCCCCGAACCCCCCCGATAAGGTTGAGTGCCGCTGCCAAGCCCCCAGATTGGCGACGGGGGGGCTTAGGTGGATGACCGCGACTTCGGACGCGCCGTTGGCGACGGCCCAGGCGATGCCGGCGCTGTCCGCGCACGCGCCGGCGAAGAGCGCAGTCGCCTGCTGCTCAGCCAGCGCTGCGACGCTCGCCTTGCCCGCGCTGTCGCGCATCCCATCGAGGGCGGCGCTTCCTGCCGAGAACGCGTCGCCGCCCGCCGCGTCGGGGGCCCGCGCGGCGAGATCGACGCAGCCGTTGTTCGCGGCCCACGGCGGCGCAGGCCGACAGCGCGACGGCGGAGAGCGCGCTCGACGAGGCCGCGGCGACGCAATGCACAGGGAGATGGCCGGCGCTGTCACTGGAGGCCTCCGCGTAACTCTCCTCACCGTGGAACCTGGCGGCGCGCGGCGTTAGTGGCGCCCTCGCCGACGCCGCTCTGGATCGCGCAAATCGGGGAGAAGCAGCCCTCGGAGGCGCAGAATGGGCACGGGGACTGCGCGCCTTCGCCCTCGCCGAGGACGACGCTGGAGCGCGCCGGGACATCGTGCCGGGGCGCCCCCCCCCCCCCCCCCAGAACCCGACTCGATTGAATAGGGAAACGTCTCTCCGGAAACAGTGGCAGCGCCCGAGTCGTTCACGTTCAAGTTCTCGGCGTAGAAGCCGCGGCCGAACGAGCCATCGGCAGGCGGCGGCGGCATGGAGATGCAAGCGATCCAAGTCCTGCCGCGAGCCCAAGCTTGCTCCGATCCCACGGTGATGCTCGCGGCCAAGTTCACAGTTGTTTCAAGAGTTGCCCCCGCGTTACCAGTCCAAGACATACCGCCAGCGTATCCGCACATGTACACTGCCTTCAAATAGTCCTGCAACCTAAGGGGACCGGCCCCCAGCAAAGCCTCGCTCGCCTTCTCCACGCGCACGTTCAAGAACACGCGCTTGCGTCTGAGGGCCAAGATCACCATCGTTCTGCATTTCGCCCGCGCGCCCCGCTGCACACTGCTTCTCGCGGCGCAAGCATCGACCGCAGCCGCCTCGATCTCCGACCGCTGGCTCTCGAGCAGCTCCGCGCCCGACTTGGCGACGCCCATCGCGTCTGCCTGCAGTTCCAAGCGCTGGCCCGCGGTCGCGTCGTCGTCGACGGGGGCGCCGGACGCGGTCGGTGAGAGGGGGCGCGCGGTCCACTCATCGCTGAAGAAAGCCCCCGCGCTCAGCGGATCTGCCGCCGTCGAGCCCGCGAGCGACCCGAAGCCATCGCTGTAGATCAGCGACGACGCGAATCAGGAGCCCTGCGCTGTTTACCTTTCAGAACGTCGGGGCGTGGCCCTACATCTGCAATTTCGCCCTGTCCGCCTCTGCTACCTCAAAGCGCAGCAGTCGAAATCCTCGACACTTGACAGCCACGCCCCGGATTCCGCCGCTGGGCCCTGCGAGTGCAATGCAGTGGGGGACTAGCCCGCGCGCAACCAGACGTCAGTCGGAGGCTCCGTCTTCACCTCTGCCACGTCCTAGCGCCTGGCCTTTTCCAGAGCCCGCCCAGGGCTTTAGCATCCACAGGCTCCTCGGGCGGCTGCTCTGGACCCTCGACCCTCGGGATCCTCATCTGAGACCTCGTCGAACTCTGGCATTTCCCCCCTCCTCCTCCTCCTCCTCCGCCTCGTCCTCCTCCTACACCTCCTCCTCCTCCCCAGGCTAGAACTCACCCCAACCCCCCGGACGTCTGCCCTGGGCCCTACGGGTCCTCATCTGGGATCTCATCGATCTCTGGCAGTACCAGCTCCTCGGGTTAAAATTCTTCCCCTTCCTCATCCTGTTTCTCCTCCTCCTCCTCCTCCTCTTCTTATTCTTCTTCTTCTGCTCCTGGTCTCTGCTCTCTGCTCCTCCTCCTTCTGCTCTCCTCCTCCTCCTCCTGCCCCTCCTCCTGCTCCTCCTGCTCCTCCTTTTGCTCCTCCTCCCGCTCTTCCTCCTGCTCCTCCTCCTGCTCCTCCTCCTGCTCATCCGCCTGTTCCTCCTCCTGTCCTCTGCTCCTCTGCTCCTCTCCCCTCCTCTCTGCTCCTCCTGCTCTGCTCCACCTCCTCCTCCCTCCTCCTCCCTGCTCTCTCTGCTTCTCCTGCTCCCTCCTGTCCTCCTCCTCCTGTCCTCCTTACTTCCTCTCTCTCCTCCTCCTCCTCCTCTCTCTCCTGCTCCTCCTCTCTCTCCTCCTCCTCCTCTCTTGCCTCCTCCTCCCTCCTCGCCTCCTCCTCTCCTCCTCCTCCTCCGCCTCTCCGCCTCCGCCTCCGCCTCGTCGCCTCCGCCGCCTCAGCCTCTCGCTCCGCTCTCTCCGCATCGTTTCCGCCTCCGCTCCGCCTCCGCTCGCTCGCTTCGCCTCCGCCGCGCTCCGCCTCGCCTCTCCTCCTCCTCCTCTCCTCCCTCATCCTCTCCTCTCCTCTCCTCCTCCTCCTCCTACCTGCTCCTCCTCTCCTCCTCCTCCTCCTCCTCTCTCCTCCTACTACTCCTCCTCCTTCCTCCTCCTTCTCTCCCTTCCTCCTCCTCCTCTCCTCTCCTCCTCCTCTCTCCTCCTCCTCTCTTCCTCCTCCTCCTCCCTCCCTCCTCTCCTCCTCTCCTCCTCCTCCTCCTCTCTCCTCCTCCTCTTCCTCCTCCTCCTTCCTCTCTCCTCCTCCTCCTCCTCCTTCCTCCTCCTCCTCCTCCTCCTCCTCCTCCTCCACCTCCTCCCCCGCGGGGTCGGAGACGGGCAGCATTTTCTTCGACTTCTTTCTTGGCCTAGGGTTTTGGTTTGGCACCTGGTGCGGTTTGTTTTTTGTTGGTTCAGCTGCAACCAGAATGTGGCTTCTTTGCCGGGGGGCGGCTTGCGAGGCAGCGGCAATGGAATACTACTAGTCCTGTGTGCCGCGTCCGTGGCGTCAGCCCCCAGCTCTACCGTTGCCCAGGCGCGCGCAGCCCACTTCCCGCCCCGGCTGACCCTGACATCTCTCGCGGCGGGCATCGCGTCTAATCCATATGGTGACGGCCATATTGGTTGGTGTCCGTTTTGTGGCTTCCATAATTTGAACCCTTTTGTCGTGCCACTACGCTGCCAAAGCTCAATGGGCGCTTCTGGTTCTGAGGAATATCATTATGTGTCGTGGTTTCCACATATTTTCGCTAACCATTCCGATGCGCAGGTCCAGGTTCATCTGTCCAAATACGGACTGGCCCCAATGGGTCCGAACCGAAATGGCCCTGCCGAGTGCCAACGTCTGCCCAGCCAATCTGACACGCGGAACGCTGCGCCTCAGTTTGGGGGATCTTGGGCCAGGGCAAAATGTGCATTCACATTGTGGGGAGAAGGCAAAATGTGAATTCACACTTTAGGATAACAAAAATATGTGAGTTCACATGTTGTGAAGAAAAGAGAATGTGAATTCACATTTGGGGATTGCGCATGGGAATCTGGATGCAGGGGTCAGGTGAATTCACAGGTTGGAAAAAAAACGCGTGAATACACAATTTGGAAAAAAAGGAACATGTCATTCACATTTGGGGAGAATCGCGGGGCCCATTCCAAATCTGTCTTAGGGTCGTCAAATCCTCGTTTGGGACCAAGCGCGATCATCAATCGCACGCTCAAGACACACTTGCGCCCCAGTTCGCCGCCCCACGCGCGATGTGCAAGAACGCCCGCACGCATGAGCGATCATGGATGGTCGGCGCGTTTGCCCGCGCGGGCAACGCGCGGGCACGAGCGACTGGCCCTCCATGACCGCCAACATTGGATGCCAATCGTACCATCCAGCCCCCATTGCAGACCTCCTGCGGCAGACCCCCTCTTTCGCCCTTCGCGCTTCGCTGTGGCAGCCGCGGCTGGCTCGCTGTTGGAGCCGGGGTCCTCTCCTGAGCCGCCGTCGGAGCCGTCGGCCTCGGCAGCTGCGTCGGCGCCGGCAGCTCCGTCGGCGTCGTCGGCGTTGGGACACCACTTCGGCGTCGGCGCCCGAGCTGCCGCGGCCGCGGGCCCGACGAGGCCGCTCTCGGAGCCGCGGAGGCGCTCGGACGTCCATGCCCTGTGTTTTTTTGTCGGTCTCGTGCGTGGCTTGTTCGCCAAATGGTCAAGGATGCACCTCGATGGCCCTCGCCGAGAAAAAATGCACACGTCCGAGCGGTGCCAGGAGAAGACCCCAAGAAGCCATGTGAAATGTTCGTGAGGCCCCCGAGAAGCTCTCCAAGGAAGAGCCTCAGCAAAAAGAGCAGAGGAGGACGGGGAAGAATTCGTAGGGAAGGGCGAGGATGAGGAAGAGGACGAGGACACATACATGAGGGAAGGATAACGAATTCCATTATTATGACGACGATGCGGGTCAAGGCAACGAAGAGTTGTCGCTGTATTCTGCTTTACCGTCCTGCCCTTCCGCATTGACTTTCGCATGCGTAACAAACTTCGAGGACCAAGGTATATGGCGCGTTGCGCCAATGCAATCTTGTGTGTATCCGCCGGCCCTCTTGTGGGGCCACAAGGCTGTAGGGCAAAGGTTTGCTGCTCCCTGCGCCAGTTGCAAGTTCCAGTTTCCAATGTGATAGTTCTGCTTCTTGTTGCATTACTGTTCCTTGTTGTAGACCGCGCGAGGGGGGAGAGCCGAACAGCAGCCTGGTTAGCGTCTCCTGGGAGGGGTCTCGAAATTTCTGGGGCGGTCAAAATTGACACCCCTCACGCAGATCGGCGGGGTCAGGGTCCAAAAACACATGGGATTTGCCAAACTTCTGAAATTCGGCAACACCCCTAACGCAGATCGTCGGAGTCAGGGTCGAACAAACCACTGGGATTTGCCACATTTCTGAAATTCGGCGGCACCCCTCACGCATATCGGCGGAGTCAGGGTCGAAAAATCAATGGGATTTGCCACAATTCTAAAATTCGGCGGCACCCCTCACGCAGATCGGCGGAGTCAGGCTCCAACAACATAAGGGATTTACCTCATTTCTGAAATTTGGTGGCACTCCTCACGCAGATCGCCGGGTCAGGGTCGGAAAACATATGGGACTTGCCACATTCCTGAAATTCGGCGGCACCCTTCACACAGATCGGCGGAGCCAGGGTCAAAAAACCAATGGGATTTGCCACATTTCTGAAATTCGGCGGCACCCCTCACGTAGATCGGCGGGGTCAGAATCGAAAAGCCAATGGGAATTGCATGTTTGATCAAATTCGGCGACACCTCTCACGCAGATCAGCAAGGTCAGGATCTTAAAACATAAAGGATTTGCCACATTCCTGACATTCGGTGGCACCTCTCACGCAGATCGGCGGGGTCAGTCAGGGTCCAAAAACACAAAGGATGTGCTACATTTCAGAAACTCGGTCGCACCCCTCTCGTAGATCGGCGGGGTCAGGGTCCAAAGACATCAGGGAGTTGACACATCTCTGAAATGTGACGGCACCCCTCACGTAGATCGGTGGGGTCAGGGTCGAACAACGTGGGATTTGCCACGTTCCTGAAATTCGGTGGCCCCCCGCACGCAGATCGGCGGGGTCAGGGTCGAACAACATAAAGGATTTACCACATTTCTGAAATTCGGTGGCACTCCTCATGCAGATCGGCGGGGTCAGGGTCGGAAAACACATGGTATTTGCCGCATGTCTTGAAATTAGGTGGCACCCCTCACGCAGATCGGTGGGGTCAAGGTCAACAACCAACGGGATTTGCAGCATGTCAATACTCCGTAGAAGCGATTTGTGCACAGCATACACGAGCAAGCTCGAAACACAACACCGAATTCAACAGTGTCATCGTAATCTCAATGTGTCTTGCCGATTAGTCATCGTCTTCGCGTGAAGTCCCGACGCTGCTTCACGGCGGCGCCAAGGCCTCATGACTTCGCTCTTGCATTGCCCATTATCCGAGAGAGGCGGCCGGCGGCAGGGGGCGACGCCCTTACGGATATATAATAAATGCAGACGTGCAGACATAAACAAAGTTAGGCCCCCCTCTCTGTTCCGCTTCGTATTGTTACACTGTCCTGATCAAGGCAACTCGCCCAAGTATCGTTTCTGGATGGGGTGATGGGGATACGCGAAGCGGCAAGACACTGTCTGATGCGTGGCCCCCCCCGAAACTCTGGACCACTTCCCTTCAGGGCTGGCTTCGCGTCCCGAGTATTACCCAACCATCCTGTGGTGTTGGGCCCTCGCTTTGAATAGACGGCCCCCGCGCTCCCTCCCTCCTTCCCTCCGTCCTTCCTCCTCCCTCCTCCTCCGCTCTCTACCCTCATCCTTCCTCCCTTCGCTTCACCCACCAAGTACAGCGTTTCGGCGTGTCGTGGCCCAATCGGAAACTCCACCGAAACCACCTTCGGGCACCGCCCGCATGCGTCAGCCACCACTCAATACAGCGCTTCGTGGCCCCATAGGGATCTCCACCGACGGCCCCGTTGGTACCACCCGAATGCGCCAACCACCACGCAGTACAGCGCTCCGTAGCCCCATAGGGAGCTTCACCGCTGATCAAAATGGGACCGCTCGCATGCGTCAACCACCACCCAGTACAGCGCTCCGTGGCCCCAAGCTCCACAGCAGGCCCCAATGGGACCGCCCGCATGCACCAGCCACAACCCAATACAGCGAATCGCGGCCCCTTAGGGAGCCCCACAGCAAATTCAAGTGGCACCGCCCGCATGCGTCAGCCACCACCCAGTACAGCGCTTCGTGGCCCCTCACGGAGCTCCACCGATGTTCCCAGTGGTACCACCCGCATGCGTCAGCCACCATCCAGTACAGCGCTTCGTGGCCCCATAGGGAGCTCCACCGACGGCCCCAGTTGCACCGCCCGCCTGTGTCAGCCACCACCCAGCACAGCGTTTCGTGGCCCCAGAAGGCTCCACCGCAGGTCCCAGCCCGCATGCGCCAGCCCCACCCAATACTGCGTTTCGTGGCCCCATAGGGAGCTTCACCGATGGTCCCAGTGGGACCGCCCGCATGCGTCATCCACCACCCAGCACACGGCTTCATGGCCCTTAGGGAGCTCCACGGCAATCCCCAGTGACACCGCCCAGATGCGTCAACCACTACCAAGTACAGCGTTTCGTGGTCTCACAGGGAGCTTCACCGATGGTCCCAAATGGACCAGCCCATGTGGAGCTCCACCGAAGGCCCCAGTGGCACCGCCCGCATGCGTCCCACTTCCCAGTACAGCGCTTCGTGGCCCCATAGGGAGCTCCACCGAAGGCCTCACTGGCACCGCACGCATGCGCCAGCCACCACTCAGCACAGCGTTTCGAGGCCCCGTAGGGGGCTCCACCGAAGGCCCCAGTGGCACCGCCCGCGTGCGTCAGCCACCACCCAGTACAACGCTTCGTGATCCCAGAGGGGGCTCCACCGATGGTCCCAGTGGTACCGCCCGCATGCGTCAGCCACCACCCAGTACAGGACTTCGTGGCCCCACAAGGAGCTCCACCGACGGCCCCAGTGGCAACGCCCGCATGCGTCAGCCACCACCCAGTACAGCGCTTCGTGGCCCCAGAGGGGGATTCCACCGAAGGCCCCAGTAGCGCCGCCCGCATGCGTCACCCACCACCCAGTACAACGTTTCGTGGCCCCACCACAAGTCCAAGTGGCACCGCCCGCATGCGTCAGCCACCACTCAGTACAGCGCTTCGTGGCCCTGTAGGAAACTCCACCGATGGTCCCAGTGGCACCGCCTGCATGCGTCCGCCACCACCCAGTACAGCGTTTCGCGGCTCCGCACCGAAAGCCCCATTGGCACCGCCCGCATGCGCCAGCCACCACCCAGTACAGCGTTCCACGTTCCCATAGTGAGCTCCACCGAAGGCCCCAAAGGCCAAAGGCACCACCCGCATGCCTCTCCCCCACCCGGTACAGCGTCTCGTGGCCCCGTGGGGAGATCCAGTGACACGCCCGCATGCGTCAGCCACCACCCAGTACAGCGATCCGTGGGCCCATAAGGGGGCTCCACCGAAGGCCCCAATGCCACCGCCTGCATGCGTCCCCCCTCCCAGTACAGCGTTTCGTGGCCCCATAGGGAGCTCCACCGAAGCCTCCACTGGCACCGCACGCATGCGCCAGCCACCACCAGGTACAACGATTCGTGGCCCCACAGGGAGCTCCACCGAAGGTCCCAGTGGGACCGCCCGCGTGCAGCAGCCACCACCCAGTACAGCGCTTCGTGGTCCCATAGGGAGCTTCACCGATGGTCCCAGTGGTAACGCCCGCATGCGTCAGCCACAACCCACTGCAGCGTTTCGTGGCCCCATCGGGAGCTCCACCGCAGGTCCCAGTGGGACCAGCCACCACCCAGTACAGCATTTCGTGGGCCCAAAGGGAGCTCCATTGAAGGCCCCAGTGGCGCCGCCCGCATGCGTCCCCCCCACCCAGTACAGCGCTTCGTGGCCCCATAGGGAGCTCCACCGACGGTCCCAGTGGGAGCGCCCGCATGCGTCAGCCACCACCCAGCACAGCGTTTCGTGGCCCCATAGGCAGCTCTACCAACGGCCCCAATGGCACCGCCCGCATGCGTTTCCCCCAACCAGCACGGCGTGTCGTAGCCTCATCGGGAGCTCCAGCGAGGGGCACCGCCCGCATGCGTCAACCACCACCCAGTACAGCGTTTCGTGGCCTCATCGGGAGCTCTGCCGAAGGCCCCAATGGCACCGCCTGCATGCGTCTCCCCCACCCATTACGGCACGTCCCTCACGCGCTTCGTGGTCCCATAGGGAGCTCCACCGAAAGCGGCACCCACAACGCGTTACTCACAACTGCATATGGTTGGGCCCTTCGCCAAGATAATTGTTTTACGGTGCCGGGGCCCGTTGAGGGCCCCCAGAAGCAGAAAACGATTGAAAACCGTCCACTCGAACTTGTTTCGGGGATGGACAGAAACCCCTTTAGTAAAACGTGGCTTAGTGAGAACAACCTCGGGCCCAAACCTGGCGGGCGCAAGCCTGGAAAATGACTGCCGCGGCGCCCTCTCGAACCGAAAACGGACAATTCACTAGTCGATGTGTCGGGCTGGGGGTTCTTAGGGGGCCGCATGCGAAGCCTACCCCTACCCACCACGATTTCTGAGGCGGAGGGTGGGGCTCACTTCGCTCGGGAGCTCCCGAACGAAGTGAACCCCACCCTCCCCCTCAGAAATCGTGGGGGGTAGGGGTAGGCTTCGCATGTGGCCCCCTAATTCTGTCCACCCCCGGTTGTTGGAAGCTCGGGTACCGTTATCTGGAATCCGAGATCTGGGCGCCGAAGCCGGCCCGGCCGGGGTCCTCGCCCAGAACCCTCGCCAGCTCCACCAGCAGCGGCCCCCCGGGCTGCACCTGCGACAGCACGGTGGCGGCCAGCGCGTCCAGCTCCCCTGGCCGGGCGCGCGTGCCGCGGCGACGTCGGCGCTGGCTGGCTTCGGTCGGCGGCGCGCCAGGGGGGAAGTGGGAAGGAGACTGCCCTCTTTGAGGGCGGCGTGGCTTCCCAGAAGCCCTCGCGCCTTGTGAGAAATGTTCTGTCGGGGAAAGCTCAGATAGCTCCTCAGAAGGCCGGAGGCCTTCCGAGCCGTCTGAGGACGCCCGCCCCTTCTCACTTCCCCCCCAGGCTGGCCGCCGATTCGGGGATGGGCAGAGCCGCCTACCCGTCAATCAAGACTGAGATGAAACCAAGACAGGGTCAACATCGCACAGGGATGAGTCGGAGATCTCTAAGAAAAACCAAACGGATCTGGAATCAAGCGCCGCGGCCTTCTCAGAGCGTTCCTACAGGCCTCCTAGATGGGGTCCGAGTAGATGGGGTCGGAGAATCGCGCCGCATGGCCGATGCATCGGCGATGCATCGACAATGCATCGGCGATCATCGGCCACGTCGGCGTGGGGAAACACGGGCTCCACATCGAGCGGCATCGGCGATGCATTGGCGATGCGGCGCGATCCTCCGACCCCTTCCACTCGGAACCCATCCAGGAGGCCCAGAGTTAGGTCGGGCGTGTCCTCCCTACAGGGGGATTTTGGACGACAAATGAAAAACAGTCAAACAACACTCCATAATGGTCAGATATACTAACAAAAACTAACACTCCTAGACTATTTCCCAACCATCCTGTGGTGTTGGGTCCTCGTTTTGAAGAGACGGCGCCCCGCGTTCTTCCCCTCCCGCCTCATTCCTCCATCCTCCTCTTCCTCCTCCTCCCCCCTCCTTCCTCTCTGCGTTTCACCCACCGAGTGCAGCATTTCGTGGCCCCATACGGGGGCTCCACCGGAGGTCCCAGTGGGACCGCCCGCATGCGTCAGCCCCCACCCAGCACAGCGCTTCGTGGCCTCATAGGGGGCTCCACCGAAGGCCTCAGAAGCACCGCCCGCATGCGTCAGCCACTACCCAGCACAACGTTTCGTGGCCCCATAAAGGGGATTCCACCGAAGGCCCCAGTGGCGCCGCCCGCATGCGTCAGCCATCACCCAGCACACCGTTTCGTGGCCCCATAAAAGGGGGCTCCACCGAAGTCTCCAGTAGCACCGCCCGCGTGCGTCAGCCACCACCCAGTACAGCGTTTCGCGGCCCCATAGGGGGCTGCACCGAAGTCCCCAGTAGCACCGCCCGCGTGCGTCAGCCACCACCCAGTACAGCGTTTCGCGGCCCCATAGGGGGCTCCACCGAAGGTCCCAGTGGGACCGCCCGAATGCGTCAGCCACCACCCAGTACAGCGCTTCGTGGTCCCATAGGGGGCTCCACCAACGGCCCCGGTGGCACCGCCCGCATGCGTCAGCCACCACCCAGTACAGCGCTTCGTGGTCCCGCGCGGAGCTCCGCCGAAGGTCACAGTAGGGCCGCCCGCATGCGTCAGCCACCACCCAGTGCAGCGCTTCGTGGTCCCACAAGGATCTCCACCGACGGCCCCAATGGCACCTCCCGCATGCGTCAGCCCCCAACCGGCACAGCGCTTCGCGGCCCCATAGGGGGCCCCACCGAAGGCCTCAGAAGCACCGCCCGCATGCGTCAGCCACCACCCAGCACACCGTTTCGTGGCCCCATAAAGGGGGCTCCACCGAAGGCCCCAGTGGGACCGCTCGCATACGTCAGCCACCACCCAGTACAGCGCTTCGTGGTCCCACAGGGAGCTCCACCGAAGGTCTCAGTGGCACCGCCCGCATGCGTCAGCCACCACCCAGTACAGCGCTTCGTGGTTCCCACAATGGGCTCCTCCGATGGTCCCAGTGGGACCGCCCGCATGCGTCAGCCACCACCCAGCACAGCGTTTCGTAGCTCCGAAGGGAGATCCAGCGAAAGACCCCATTCTTGCATTTCGCAGCCCAAGAGGCACCGCCCCAGTGGGACCGCCCGCATGGTTCCCCCCAACAAAATACAGCGTTTCGTAGCCCCGTGGGGAGCTCCAGTGGCCCGCCCGCATGCGACCCCCCACCCAGTACAACGTTTCGTGGCCCATACGGAGCTCCACTGAAGGCCCCAGAGGCATCGCCCGCATGCGCCACCCCCTCCCAGTACACCGTTTCGTGGCCCCATAGGGAGCTCCACCGAAGCCCCCACTCGGCCACCACTCAGTATTGCGTTTCGTGGCCCCGTAGGGAGCTTCACAAGAAGACCCCAGTGGCACCGCCCGCATGCGTCCCCCCCAACCAGTTCAGCGTTTCGTGGCCTCATCGGGAGCTCCGCCGAAGGCCCCATTGGCACCGCCCGCATGCGTCTCCCCCCACCCATTACGGCACGTTCCTCACGCGCTGCGTGGCACCATAAGAAGCTCCACCGAAAGCGGCACCCGCATTACTCACAACTACATATGACTGGGCCCTTTGCCCGGACAATCTGTGCTTCAAGTACTTTTGAGTACTCCAGATTTTGTAATAAAAGGGAGGGGGTCTGGACCCTCCAAGACAAGCCATTTCAACCCCCCCCCGTGGGAGAACCCTCCAAAACATCGTCCCCAGACCCCCCCAGGCCCTCCAAGATAGTTTGGAAGAGACCCCCCCCGAAATGAGACCCCCCTCCCTTTATTACGAAATCTGGAGTATTCCTCCTGTAGAGGGGCATGCTCGACTTGAGCCTAGAGTTCCAGCAGGCTCGAACGCCCGAGCGTGCCCTCCCCCCTCCCCCCGCCCCCCCCCCGCGGCGCGCCAGCGTCGCATAGCGGCAGCGGCGGCTCGATGTGCAGGGCGGGCAGCTCGCGCGGGTAGGAGTCCGGGAGCTCCACCTCGGGGCGCGCCGATAGGTGGCAGCGAGAAGGAACGACAGGGAGGGGCCGAGCTCGAGTTGGCGCTCGAAGGTTCGAGGGTTCTAGGATTTCTGACGTTTTCGTCGATTCTGGGCGGCGTTCCAAGCCTGGGATGTTTTTCAGCGGCTGCGCCTCTTCGAGGGCGTTCCGGAGTTTCCCAAATCGTCCCAAACGACCGCCGGGGGCCCGAGTTACAAGCCGAAAACCGGCTCAAGGGAGGTGCAACATCGACCTGGAATCGGCGATACATCGCCGATTGATCGGCAATGGGGGCCCCTGATGGCGAATCCGCGCATTCCTAGGCGGGGTGGGCTATCAGACCCCTATCGGAGATAAATGGGCGATTGGGGGTCGATGCATCCCCCCTAAACCTATCCTTCCTACCGTTCCCTCTGAGACGAGCGAGGAAATCATTCCTTTGCTCCGATAAATAAGATCGTTACCCGGGGGAGTAGGGGGCGGGGCCCCGGATACCGAGGTGGCAACGAACGAGGTCCGCGTGAGAGCTCTGCGGGAGACGAGGTCTTGTTTCCAATATCCCGCTGGCGTTATTTCTAAGAGTTGCTGCTGCTCCCGCTCTGCTGTCTCAATTGCCAACCATCCTGTGGTGTTGGGCCCTCGTTTCGCAGAGACGGTCCCCGCGTTCCCTCCATCCTTCCCTCCTTCCTTCCTCCCTCCTCCTCCTCCCCCTCCTCCTCCTTCCTCCCTGCGTTTTACCCACCCAGTACAGCGCTGCGTGGCCCAACAGGGAGCTCCACCGAAGCTCCCACTAGCACCGCCCGCATGCGTGAGCCACCACCCAGCACAGAGCTTCGTGGCCCCTATAGGGATGCGTCAGCCACCACCAAGTACAGCATTTCGCGGTCCCAGAGGGAGCTCCACCGAAGGTCCCAGTAGCACCACCCGCATGCGTCAGCCACCACCCAGCACAGCGCTTCGTGGCCCCATGGGGAGCTCCACCGAAGGCCCCAGTGGCACCGCCCGCATGCGTCAGCCACCACCCAGCACAGCGTTTCGTGGTGACACAGGGAGCTCCACCGAAGGTCCCACTGGCACCTCCCGCATGCGTCAGCCACCACCCAATACAGCGCTTCGTGGCCTCATAGGGAGCCTCACCGACGGCCACAATGGCACCGCCCGCGTGCGTCCACCACCCAGTACAGCGCTTCGTGGGCCCATATGAGGGCTCCACCGAATGTCCCAGTGGGACCGCCCGCATGCGTCAGCTCGTGGCCTGCCTCATAGGGTGCTCCACCGACGGCCCCAGTGGCACGGCCCGCATGCGTTTCCCCCAACCAGTACAACGTTTCGTGGCCCCAGACAGGAACTCCACAGAAGCCCCCACTGGCACCGCACGCATGCGTCAGCCACCACCCAGTACAGCGCTTCGTGCCCCTATAAAAGGAGCCCCACCGAAGGCTCCAGTGGCACCGCCCGCATGCGTCAGCCACTACCCAGTGCAGGGCTTCGTGGTCCCATAGGGAGCTCCACCGATGGTCCCAGTGGGACCGCCCACATGCGACAGCCACCACCCAGTACAGCGCTTCGTGGCCCCATATGAGGGCTCCACGGAATGTCACAGTGGCACGGCCCGCATGCGTCAGCCACCAGCCAGTACAGCGCATCGTGGCCCCATAGGGAGCTCCACCGAAGGCTCCAGTGACACCGCCCGCATGCATCAGCCACCACCGAATACAACGCTTCGTGCACGTGGTCCCAGACGGAACTCCACCGAAGGTCCCAGTGGGACGGCCCGCATGCGTCAGCCACCACCCAGCACAGCGTTTCGTGGTCTCATAGGGAGCTCAACCGAAAGGCCCCAGTGGCACCGCCCGCGTGCGCCGTCCACCACCCAGTACAGCGTTGCGTGGCCCCATATGGGGGCCACACCGAAGCCCCCACTGGCACCGCTCGCATGCGTCAGCCACCACCCAGTACAGCGTTCGTGGTCCCATAGGGATCCCCACCGACGGTCCCAGTGTGACCAGTCGCATGCGTCAGCCACCACCCAGCACAACGTTTCGTGGCCCCGAAGGGAGCTCCACCGACGGCCCCAATGGCACCACCTGCATGCGTCAGCCACCACCCAGTACAACGCTCCGTGGCCCCATAGGGAGCTCCACCGACGGCCCCAGTGGCACCGCCCGCATGCGTCAGCCACCACCCAGTACAGCGCTTCGTGGGCCCATAGGGAGCTCCACCGAAGGCCCCAGTGGCACCGCCCGCATGCGTCAGCCACCACCAAGTACAGCGCTTCGTGGTCCCAGAAGGAACTCCACCGAAGGTCCCAGCGGGACCGCTCGCATACGTCAGCCACCACCCAGCACAGTGCTTCGTGGCCCCATAGAGGGCTCCGCCGAAGGCCTCAGTGGCACCGCCTGCATGCTCCGTCCACCACCTAGTACAACGTTTCGTGGCCCCATAGGGAGCTCCACCGACGGCCCCCAGTGGGACCGCCCGCATGCGACCCCCCCTCCCAGTACAGCGCTTCGTGGCCCCATATGGAACTCCACCGAAGCCCCCACTGGCACCGCTCGCATGCGTGGGCCACCACCCAGCACAGCGCTCTACCGACGGCCCCAGTTGCATCGACCGCATGAGTTTCCCTCAATTAGTACAGCGTGTCGTGGCCTCCTCGGGAGCTCCAGCGAGGGGCACCGCCCGCATGCGTCAGCCACCACCCAGTACAGCGCTTCGTAGCCCCGTAAGGAGCTCCACCGAAGGCTCCATTGGCACCGCCCGCATGCGTCTCCCCCACCCATTGCGGAACGTCCCTCACGCGCTTCGTGGCCCCATAGGGAACTCCACCGAAAGCGGCACCCACAACGCGTTACGTTGTCTCAACTGCAGATGTTTGGGTCCTTCGCCAAGATTATTGCTTTAGGCATCTCAGCACGTTATCCGGGGGGCAGTTTGGCCGGGTCGACGATCGTTGCGCGACGGAGGAGAAGAACAGATCTCGAGGGGTGGGCGGGGCCTCCCACTGCTATGCAACTCCCTCAGAACCAGAGGTCGAGGTGTCATCAGCAGCATCAGGCCAGACATGCAGACGGTCGCAGGCGATGAAGAGAGAGATTTCGCCCAGAGGGAGCCCCAGCTATACCCCTGATGGAAGGGGTCCAGGGCCAGGGAGGAACGGAAGGCCGCTCAATCAGGGTGGAGGGCATCCCCCAAATCTCCAAGGTTCAGATTGACGAACGAGCAACACACACACCCATACCCATAGGGGGGTCGTTGAGAGGAGGACTGGCTATGGGTATGGGTGCGGGTTGTCGGACCCTGGGGAACGCTCCCGTTCGAGCGGGGACCCCCATCCGACAACACGCACCCATAGCCCTCTCCGACCCCCCTATGGGTATGGGTGTGTGTTGGTTCGTCATCAGATGGGGCGGGGGCGGCGTGCACTGTTCGTTAACTGCAGCAGCAAGGAGGCGACATAGCCTCAACAGAGCCCTTCCTGATGGTCCGTCGCAGAGACCGATACCCTCGAACCCCTCCGCCCCAGGGTGCCCCCGATGGGCGGCTGAGGGGGTGGGGCCCCGCCTTGGAGGCCTCACAAACGTTCTGTTACATCCTCGGGGGACCTTGAACTGTCTCATCACCCCGCTGTCCCCCTAAATCCGTGCCACGTCCATGCCGGCCTTGTCGAATCCGTGTCGAATCCGAGTCGAATCCACGTCGGGCCTGCGTCCGCGTCGAACATACCAATGCACAGCCATTCGCAGGAGAGACGAGGCCCACCGACACTGCGACGTAACAAGTGAAGTGATAACAAAAGATAGAACTTTCTGCCGTCCCCGTAATGTCCGTTTCGGGGGGAGGGTTAGGGCACCAGTGTAGGGGTAATGGTACAGTCAAAAACCCTAATCAGGACGCGCGGTAAGGACGCAAGACCCTTGGAAGCCGAAGTTGGGATTTTTGGGAAGGCGGACGACGAAAACCTCAAGGACGCAAGAGCAAGGAAGAGCAAGGACGCAAGGGTACCCTGAGCAAAGCCGCGCGTCCTTGTTGGGGCTTTTGACTGTAACAAGCGAAGTGACAACAAAAGATAGAACTTTCTTCCGTCCCCGTAATGTCCGTTTCGGGGGGAGGCTTACTGCAGGTTCCTGTCGTGTCGACCCCGGCGTTGGTTCCCGACACCGCGCTGCATCGTTCAACCTTGAACGATCGGCCGTCTCCAGGACGTCCGATCGTTCAACATCGACCGATTCTGGGCCGCCGCCGGCGTTCAGCCTTGAACGTCCGCGCTGGGGTCGCCGCTGGTCGACACGACGCAAACCTACCGTAGGGCACCAGTGGTGGGGGTAATGGTAACCTGGTCGGGCCCCGCGAGGGGCCCCGGGCGCCACACGGCGACAGCGGCGACGGCGACGGCGACGGCGACGGCGAGGGCGAGGGCGAGGACGACGACGGCCACCTTTGAATGCCTCCAGAGATCTCCGAGAGCACCAGGATGTCTCCAGAGGCCTGTGCAGGCTTCTGGGGGCGCCTGGCGGACCTCCGAGGCTCTCGGAGACGACGACGACGACGACGACGACGACGACGACGACGACGACGACGACGACGACGACGACGACGACGACGACGACGACGACGACGACGGCAGCGGCGACGACGACGACGACGGAGGCGTCTGGAGGCGTCTGGAGGCCCCCCGATGCCCGTCAGCACCACACCGTGCCCGTGAGTACGGCGTCATGCCTGTGGTGGGGGGGTCGGCCCCCCCTCGTGTACGTTCGTTACCGTTGCGGGGAGGAGGGGGCGGGGACGACCCCCCCATCAACTTCGGCGGTGGACAAACCTCCCTTTAGGAAACCCCCCTTTAGTGAAAACGGCCTGGGGCCGAAACCGACGGACCTGCAACCGCACAAATGACGGCCGCGACGCCCTCTCGCGAGCCGAAGACGGCCAATTCCTTAATCGACGCGTCAGGGTACGAGGTCTATCCACCCCCGATCAACGAATAGCAAAAGCAACCT